TCTGATTACAAAGTGTCATTAATATATATATATATATATATCCAAGAGCTCATGGCCAACCTGGCTTGGCCCTTAACGAGAAGGGCCCATGGCTCCAACAAGGCTTGGCCTCTAAGTCAACGAGCTAGTTCAAACCCAACTCATTGGTAGAGTTGGTCCTGGGTGTTTAGACTTTAGAAAGTGAAAAAAGATGATAAAATGAGTTGGAATGCGGAAGCGGAATTATTCAAAAATTAAAAATTTTCTTTAATTTAAAAGCAAGATCGTCTAGATATTCACGTGTATATTATATCAAAAATAAAGAATTCGAATTTTTACCTAAATTCGATAATCAATCTTGAAATAATTCTGAATCATGAAATTCTAACCTTTTAGATCACGAACTTCTAGCCTTTTAATTTCAAGAACTTGATGCTTCAAACCTCCAAGTTTTCTATGGTATTTTCCAAAGTCAAGACTACACCGGTAGGTGAGCAGGTTCTTTTAATTAAATAAAGAAACCAATTCTTGAACTAGACAATTGAAAAATCAAGAAAAATAATTTTTTCTCTCTCCAAAATTTGAACACCATGGAATAATGTATTTTGAATGTTATACACTTTCATTTCATAGGATGTCTAGAACCCTCCTAATCTCTATTTATAGATATAGAAGAGTTCCAATCTATACAATAATAATTGCACATTCAAATAAGACTTCTAGTTAAAATCAGGAGTTTTAATTTAAGCCAAATTTCAATTAGTTTACATTTAATTACATGTGTAGTCATAAATCTTCAACTACAATTATAATTAACTATACAACTTTCATATTAGTTACAATCAAGGACAAAATTTTATTGTAATTACAATTAAACTCAAAACTATTATAATTGTCGTAATTAAGTTCTAATGCTTTATGGATCTACAACAGGGACCTAATTAGACATAAATTTTTTGAGTTTCAATAATTAGATCATGACCACCCAATTTAATTATTAGTCTTTGCTTCTTCTTTTTTTCATTAAAAGCAAAATACTGAACTCTTAGAATATATAAGATCACAGAAGTCAATAAATCTGTAATACTTTTCTCTGACCTGCCGTATATGTATTTTATCCCCATCCGAAATCCGATAATTAGGTACAAGCATAAATAATCGTTTTGTCCCTCTAATTATTCTCACTAACTTAAGTTTCATTTTCTTCAACGGTTATGTGAACTAATCACAGATGTCGAAGTTTAGCAGTCGCTAAACGCTGAGCTCAGACTTTAACCATTCAACAAAAAATACTTAAATAGTCATTCTATCCATTATTCAGGGTGACAATTCACGACACGAATTCATATTCTCTACTCCGTTCATTCTCAAGTTCCCAATTCATCGAGATATTTGACCAATCAAATTGATCTCGTCCATTGATAAATCAAAGAACAATTAAAATCGCGAAAAATATATATAATCCTGTCAAGGTATTCAGATGAAATACACAGTGGTCAAGTGAAATTTAATTATGCACACAATCATGCTATAGAATTAAATTCGACATGCGATCCGTCCAATACACTTCACGTGTACTAGTGTCATCTTTAGCTATTTCTGTGATAAGGATAAATCACAAACCTAAATAGTGAATCGGTCAACACTACAACCTTCTAGTGCAAGATACCAATCCTTATACATTGATTATGAACAAATTATTTATGATCAAAATATAAGTTATGTCATACTGTACTTCTCAACATAAGTACTTAACTTATATTATCTCAAGTGATCATTGACACTTTAATTTGCATGCTCAATAATAAATAATGTAATAAATAAATAAAACCACAATTTATTTATTATAAATGATTATTTTATCACAGCAATATATATTATATGAGCACACAACCCAACAAAATATACTATCAGTCTGTTTGGGCCCGACTTTTTCACCAAAAAAATTGATTTTTTGACCGTTATTTCACTATTCTAGCCGTTATATTTGACTTCTTCTCTCACAGGTAGACCCCACTTTTTTCCTAACGGTCAAAAAATCAATTCTCAAAATCACTCCCAAACAGACTCTATATTTTGTCAGTAAGATTGCTCCTAGAATAATCTTGTAGACTTGTTTACTAAGAGCCTATTGGCTAAGTTTTCGAGGAACATCTACATCACAAATGGTTGCAAGACATGACACATATACTCTTGGGCAAGTGGGAGATTTGTTAGGTTGTCTGTCTATATAGTATATTTTGCTATGATGAAATGATCATTTATAATAAATAAATTATGGTTTATTGCATTATTTATTATTGAGCATGCAAATTAAAGTGTCTATAATCACTTAAGATAATATAAGATGGGTACTTGCATTGAGAAGTACAGTGTGATACAACTTATATATTGATAATAAATTATTTGTTAACAACCAATGTATCAGGATTGACACCTTGTACTAGAAGGTTGTAGTGTTGATTGAGTTACTATTCAGGTTTGTGATTTATCCTTATCACATAAATAGTTAAAGGAGACATTAGTACATTTGGAGTGTATTGAACGGATTGCGTGTCGAATTTAATTTTATAGCATGACCTGCGAAGAATTAAATTCCACTAGACCGATGTGTATTTCATCTAAATCCATTGATAGGACTATGTATATCTTTTCGTGATTTGAATGATTTTTTTATTAAACAATGGGTGAGATCAATTTGATAGATCAAATATCTCGATGAGTTGGGAACTTAAGAATGAGCGGAGTAGAGAACATGAATTCATGTTAGAAATCGTCACCCTGAAAAATAGAAAGAGTGACTACTTAAGTATTTTCTGTTGAACGGTTAACATCTGAGCTTAGTGTTTAGCGATGGCTAAATTTTGACATCTGTGATTAGTTCATAGGACCGTTGAAGAACATAAAATTTAAGTTAGTGAGAATAAATATAGAGGTAAAACAGTCATTTATGCTGCTACCTAATTTTTGGATCTTGGATGGGGATAAAATACATGTTGATGGAATGCGAAAGCGAAATTATCGAGAAATTAAAAATTTCTTTAATTCAATAAATAAGATTTTCTAGATGTTCACTTGTATGTTATATAAATAATAAAGTATTCAAATTTTTTTTTTTACCTAAATTCGATGATAAATTTTTTAATTAATTCTGAATCACGATCTTCTAGTTTTTTAATTCCAAAAACTTGATACTTCAAATCTCCAAATTTTCTATGGTATTCTCCAAAATCAAGACTACATCGATGAGTAGACACCTTCTTTTAATTAAATCAAGAAACCAATTCTTGAACTTTACAATTGAAAAATTCAAGAAAAATAATTTTTTTCTATCCAAAATTTGAACACCATGAAATTATATATTATGAATGTTATACAATTTCATTCCATAAGATATCTATGATCCATCTAATCTCTATTTATAGAGAGAGAATATTTCTAATTCTTATACAACAATAATTCTACATTCAAATAAGAGTTCTAGTTAAAACTCAAGTTAAGTTTAATTTCAATTAGTTTACATTAAATTACATGTGTAGTCCTAAAACTTCTATTACAATTATAATTAAGTTTACAACTTTCGTAGTAATTACAACAAGTACAAAACTTTATTGTAATTACAATTAAACTCAAAATTATTATAATTACCGTAATTAAGCTCCAATACTTTATGGAGCTATCACAGGGATCTGATCAGACATATATTTTTCAAACTCCAATAATTAGATCCTATCTAGTCGACCATAGACCATCTAATCTAATTATTAGTCTTTATTTTTTCTACTAAATGCAAAAGACTGAACTCTCAGAATATATAAGATCACATAAACTAATACATCTGTAATACTTTTCTTTGGCCTGTTGTATATATTTTATCCCTGTTTGAGATCCGATAATTAGGTACGAGCATAAATGACCATTTTGCACCTCTAATTATTTCCACTAACTTAAGTTTTATTTTTTTTCAACGGTCTTGTGAACTAATCACAAACGTCGAAATTTAGTCGTCGCTAAACACTAGTACTTAAGTAGTCACTCTTCCCGCTTTCCAGGGTGACGGTTTTCGACACGAATTCATGTTCTCTACTCCGCTCATTCTCAAGTTTCCAACTTATCGTAATATTTAACCAATCAAATTGATCTCATTCATTAATGAATCAAAGAACTATTAAAATCACAAAAAGATATACGTAGTCCTACCAAGGAATTTAGATAAAATATACAGCGGTCTAGTGGAATTTAATTCTCCATACAGCCATACTATAGGATTAAATTCGACACACGGTCCGTTCAATACACTTCAAGTGTATTAGTGTCACCTTTAACTATTTCTGTGATAAGGAAAAATCACAAATATGAATAGTGAATCGGTCAATACTACAATCTTTCAGTATAAAATGTCAACCCTTATACATTGGTTGTGAATAAATTATTTATAATCAAACTATAATTTGTGTCACACAGTACTTCTCAATGCAAGTACCAAACTTATATTATCTCAAGTGATCATCGGCACCTTAATTTATATGCTCAATAATAAATAAATAAAACCACAATTTATTTATTATAAATGATTATTTTATCAAAGTAAAATATACTACATGGGTTCACAACCCAACAAATCTTCCACTTACCCTAGAGTATATGTGTCCCGTATTGCAACCTTTTGTGTTGCAAATGTCCCTCGAAAACTTAGCCAATAGGCTCTTAGTAAACGAATCTACAATATTATCTTAGTAGTAATCTTACTGACAACCACATTTTCTCTGTTAACCATCTCTCTTAAGAGATGATATTTTCGTTTAACTTGTTTACCGTTTGATGACTCATGGTTCTTCAACGTTTGCCACAATTCCACTGTTAGCCCAATATAGTGTAAAGATGTGCAGATGCAAGCACCGCCTCGATGTCCATTAGAATTTATAAGTCATAGATACCAATTTGTACATTATAAAATTAATAAGTTAAGAGGTTGATAATTTGACAAAGAAAGCTCACCTGACTCTACATCAAACAGTTTTCTTGAAACTGAAAGTCTTACCACTAAAGTCATTAAAGTATTATATACCTAATCTGCCTTTTTCTTATTTTATTACCATCTTTTCTTTTATATACGTCTTCCTTGCTCTCTCCAGCTGCATTGGTGTCCTCCACCGACGCCTCGGTATCATCACTTCTTCGAGTTTTTCTCGATCTTTTTATAATTATAATTTTCTTCAGTACTGTGCTTGTTTAATTTTTCATCCTCTGCTTCTTTGCCAGATCTTGTTTTGAACTTGCTGTACTGCATTTTACGCTGATGAACTTATAATTGTCGTCCGTATGTAATTTGATCTGAAATTGACACAAAATTCACGTTTTTACAGTTTCTACCATTATTAGTATGCTGCAATTCTTAATGCTATTCAGAATTTGCAATCTTTTCCCTTTTGCTTGATGAGTAGATCTGCATTTTGAACTTGTGAAGTTTTTGATTAATTATGATTTACTTGGATTTAGTTCTCCGAAATGGGATCTCACAAAATTGGGTGATTTTGAATCAAAGATGTGACTTAGTTATCCGTTAAAGACTAGGCTTATCTTTTAAGAAGGTTGCTTTTCTTGACAGCAGCTATCTCGAGATCTAATGGATGATTCTTTCTTAGAAATAAGCTAGACGAAACAGGCTTGGAAGTATATGTGACTTAGTTATCTGTCAAGAGAGCATGTTTGGCTTAGCTTATTTCCAAGAAAGTTGCATTTCTAGATAGTAGCTATGTCAAGATCTGATGGATTCTTCTTTCTTAGAAATTAGCTAAGACAAACATGCTTTAAGTATAATATGTTTAATATGCTTAGATCTGATGGATGCATTAACGATTTTGCAGAAACTTGGAAGTTTATTCAGAGTTAAGAGGCCAAGAAATGGGATTTGAAATGAATTTTATGGCCTTTATTAGTGCAATACTAGTTGTTTTCTATTTTGCATCAGCAAATTCACAATCTGTTGTAGCTCCAACTCCAACTCCAACTCCTGCCCCTGCACCAGCACCGGAACACGTAAACCTGACTGACTTACTCTCCGTTGCCGGTCCATTCCAGACTTTCCTAGGCTATCTTCAATCCACCAAAGTCATCGAGACTTTTCAAAACCAAGCCAATAACACTGATGAAGGAATTACTCTTTTCGTGCCGAAAGATGAGGCCTTTGCTTCACTAAAGAAGCCCTCTATTTCTAACCTCACACAGGACCAACTCAAATCTCTATGCCTTTTCCATGCTTTGCCACATTACTACAAACTGGCTGATTTCACGAACCTAAGCCGACAGAGCCCCATTCCTACCTTTGCCGGTGGACAATACAGTTTGAATTTCACCGATAACTCTGGAACAGTGCATGTTGATTCGGGATGGACTAAAACAAAGGTTATCAGCGCAGTTCGTGCCACTGATCCAGTCGCAGTTTATGAGACCGATAAAGTTCTGCTCCCGGAGGCAATCTTTGGCACTGATATACCCCCAACCCCGGCTCCAGCTCCGGCCCCAGTCCCAGATACTGCTCCTGTAGCAGATTCTCCATCTGAAAAGGAGGGAAGTGAATCATCGTCGCCAAATTCTTCACCTTCGTCTTCTCACAGCATTGTGAATTCGGGTAAATTGAGCCAGTTGGCTTTGGCTTTTGTGGGTGCAATGCTCATGTTCTTGTGAAAGACTGTTTTGATGATCAGTTAATTTGTCATTTGTTTCCTACACATTCTTTTCCCATGTATTTTTTATTATACCATTATGTATGACAATATGAATTTTGGTATGCTTAAATGCTCTCTTGACTAGAGTTGCCTTATTATTGCAATTTTTCTTTGGGTTCTTTCTCATTATAAATTGAACAAATTGTGTATATGCCTCAGTGCTAGATCTAAAACGCGAAAGGGAATTCTGTAATAGGTGGAGTTTTACTTTATTGTCCGACACATCCCTCTATATATCTAAACCCTTGTTGGTAGTCGCAGTGTGGGGGGTTCGATTCCTGAGACATGAAATTGGACTCCTTGTAGGAGTAGTGTACATGCAGCTCTTGTTCCATGACCTATTGGGGTACATCTTGCAATTTATCTCCCTCACAAAACTCTAAGAGTCGAGTAGTGGAGGCCCTCAAGTTTGGGGTTCAGCTTTTTTATAGACCACAAGACCTTTCGATCCCATCGCAAAAAACGAAGGAGACCAGCTAAGAGCGTTTGTACAAGTACTGGGAGCGATTCCCAAAATCATGTTTGGTGAAGAACTAAACTACAACTCAAGTCTTTCCTGTGCCTAAGCGTTTCTAGTATTAGTTATGTTCGACTGTACAGGCAAGATGGCTTTTTTGTTATATGTATTTAGTTCGAAATTCTACCCATTGGAGTTCATAATTTTATTATTAATTAAGATAAAATCAATTATTTAACGTTAACAGCATGTAAAACCCACCAAAATATTATGATTGCGATGTAATCAAAAGTGGATAACCACTAAGATCACGACCAGAGATCTTGGGACCCACAAAACTTCCTACCTTAAAACGGATTTTATTTTACTTTTTAAAATTAACCAAAAATTATATATATTATTATTTTTTTTTAAAGTAAACTTTTTTATGTTAACCAAACATGCTCTCCTTATAACGCATTCGTTTGGCCGGTTGGAAGCCACATTTTCATGCATCATGTAACCCACAAGGAATTTCTGTTTCTAGCGTGTATTCAAAGATTAAAAAATGAAGCTTGTTTCAGATCCAGGCCTAGGGACAGGCTTAAAAACAGGGAGGTGAGGTGGGTGCACCTTACCCCTTGATTTCCCTTGAATCAATTGAAATCAAGGACTGAGGTGGCACAGGGCTGAGGTGGGTGCCACCTCAGTCCCCTGTTTTTAGGCTTGGATGAGGAGCATTTTTGTTAAAAAATTGAATCGTCTCTAAATTTTACATTTCGTCCATAAATAATAGTCAAAATTTAATTATCCAACTTTATAATGGTTCGTTGATATCGATTCCGTGAATTCAAATTAACAGAGGCTGATTTGACGAATGGGATTTAATTATCCAAGTCGTTATAGTTGCATCATAACATTGACTAGTTTTGGGGTTTAATATACGTTGCATCCATGGCATCCATTATTTATATGTATAAAAGCACGAAGTACATAAAATTGTACAATACACACCAAGATCGCGAATTTCACAAGATTTTTCCCCAAATTGTATGAACCCTAATATTCTACTGTTAATGGGAGTAAACATGACTAAATCTTAAATTTTGATGTTGATTGACCGTTTAAAAAAATTCCTATAAGTTCATAAATGTACTGGGTTTTAGTGATGTTAAGAATGGCATTCTCCTTTATTGTCAAAATTCGGTTAGTGACGTGAAAGGATATTGTAAAAATCAATGGCTATAATCGATGCCATGTCAACGGATGTTAAACTTAGGCCTTATTTGGTAATAATTAAAATTTAAATTTCAATTTAAATTAAAATCAACAATTCATTTCAACCATATATTCATGGGTCCTACAACGTTTTATCCATACATTTCATTAACTTCTATCCAAATCTACAAAAATTTAATTTGAATCCTAACCAAATGGAGACTTAGAACCCGTTTGATTTTCATTTTTTTAAGAATGAGAATGAAAAATATAATTGTTACGAAATTCACACAAGATATGAAAAGTCAAATATGATAACTTAACGTGATGAATAACAATTATTTATTCATTTTTTTTTTTTTGTTAAAGAATGAGAATCAAACTATCCTTAATATAAAAGTCACTGTACACGCGACATGTTTCTTTCAGTTTGGATCCGTTCTTTCTGACATCCTTTTTTTTTTTAAAAGTTAATAATAATAATAAAATTCTAGATAATTTTCTTGGAGTAATTGAAGAAATTTGTACTAATTTGCAAATCAAAACAGAAGACTGTGACCTTAATTTCCATGAAATACACAATACAGTAGTCTATCGACAAATCAGAAAGGAAACTGCCGTAACCAGAATATATGCCTAAATTCTGGTTACCCTACATGTGTAGACCATTCATTTCAACAAATACCTTGTGTGCATAATTTGCTAAAACTGCGGATCGTGCGATGCAGAATGGGGAAGATGAACAGAGATTTCGAACAAAGGTGTTGCGTGCAAAATTCGGTTACAGATTTCTCACATAAAGATGGCATATCTCATGCTGTCTCTAACCAAGAGATGATTCACCTCGGAAGTTTGCGCCAATTCACTCGACACCCACACACCATCGGTGGCGTTCATACGCGGGTGCGACAGGCACGAAAGCAGCAAGATCGGCACCCGTGCAATACCGTATAATACGGAAAGCCCATTATTCCATCGTCGCGTTCTGATTCTCCTATCTACAAAAATAGGCAATTCTACTCCGTCCTCGTTGGGCAAAATGTTCTCATCCGCCACGCGTGAGCTTTTCTTCATGTTGTGGAGGTTTCTTCGTATCGCAGAGAACATTCTCATCATATTCTTGGATCGAATTTTGAGTGCAGACACCTCAATCTCAAACTGGTTTTGTGTTTGAATTTAGGTCTTAGAGTGAATACTTTTGCAGTGGTATCACGATTGATGGTGGGTTAGTGGCTTAGTGCTTATCTTAGTCCTGTTTGGCCTCCATTTTATCTAGAATTTTTTTTTAGTCTTTTTAATCACATATTTTTCAATAAAATAATATTACACATAACTCAAAATTTTTTCTTTTTTTTAGGGGCCTATTTGGGAGCGATTTTTCCTCCCAAAATATTAATTTTTTGACTGTTATTTCACTATTCCAGCCGTCATAATTGATTTCTTCTCTCACAGGTGGACCCTACTTTTTTCTTAATAGTCAAAAAATCAATTCTCAAAATTACTCCCAAACAGACTCTTAACCTCACATTCTTATTAAAAAAAAAAAAAGCATTTTGCCCAAAACACATTAAAATGGGGCCCAAACAAGGGCTTAGTGTTTGTTGGGGTTGGAAATTCCATCGATGTAATTACACGTTGATTTCGCCAATGTTTGAGCCCCAATTTGGCGGTAAATAAGTTTCTTTTATATGATTTTTTTTTTAATTTTAAAAATGCGTCATTAAAAAGTATGAAATTTTTTTGAATTTAATGGACTTAACTACAAAATTATTTTAGTGAAAATCACAACGACCCATTTTTTTAACTTCCAATTTGAAAAATAAGATTTAAAATCTTTTTAATACAAAAATCAAATGAAAATTTAATTTTTAATATTAAATAATAATATTATAATATTAAATTAATCTACTTATTCGTCCTACCCCATTCAATATCTTACACTCATTTCACTCCAAACTCCGATTCATTTTTTTCCTTCTTTTTCTCTCCATCCTTTTCATTTACTCTCTACCTCTACTCTCATCGTCATTGGCATCGATGCTCATAGCAACAAGCACATCGGGGCAATGACTGTTGTGAGGATTTCGTTGCTTCAGCATTGCGGTAATGCTCACAACGGAGTGTTGCTGCAGCGACGCTAAGATCTAACATTCTGCGGCGATTGCTCCGCCACAGCAGCATTTAGATTTGATGCTACAACAATGCCGTAGTAGCCTTAGTAAAACCAAATCTATTCTTCTTAAGTGTGATTTCTTCAAAATTGATGCTGTGGAGTCGTAGTTATCGTAGTTTGTAGTGATCGACGATTTTTTATATTTTTTGTGGAGGTTTGAGATGGTGATTGCTGCTGCACAAAGCAGGAATCGACGATGGTGCAGTGCACAGCGATGATGGTGCCGTGGTGTTCACAAGACAGTGCAATGGCGCTGTGTTGTGCGCTGCTGTGGTAGTGTATTATGCGATGCAATATGGTGGTGGTGTTTACAGTTGCTAGTGGTGTAGGTGGTGGTGATGGTGATGACAATGGTAAGCTATTTGTGATGGTGCTAGTTGTGGTAGGTTGTTGGCACTGGTGGTTTAGGTGGTGGTGATGGTAGAGCAAGGTTGGGGTACGATGCAGTGTAGAGGAGATGAGTGATGTGGGTGTTTATGACCAATTATTTTCATGATTGTGAACAAATAAATGATTAATTTGTGATCAATAAATAATGTGTGTTAAAAAAGGTGAGATTGCGACTAAATTTGTAATTGTGACTTTGAATTTGTTAAATTACAACCAATTAATTTGATAAATTGTGACCTATAAAATTTTTGATTTGTGACAATAAATAATTTGTGATATATTAATTTGATAATTTGTAACTTTTTGACCACCGAGCTCCGAATCTCATAAAATTGTCATTTACAGGCCCCACCCCAGCAAATGTGAGTTCAGTCACAAAAGTTCAGCTCGGATTTCTACCGCCGTCATCTCAAGGAGACATCATGATTACCTCCTATCACATCATCCTCTCAATCATATACACTTGTAAAAGATTATATCCTCACCATCCAAAACCACCAATCCGAGACCTCAAGCCTTCAAATCATTTGCAGGTTATCATTGTCTGAGGAAAATATTGACACTTGACCACCGGCGTCATCAACCAATTACAGGAGAAATTCTCGACCCGACTTCCGAGCTTGATCCTATTCTCGATTTGATGTAATTTCGACTATAGCCATGTATAAATAGTAGAGAAACTGTTTTGTAGAAAGAGGAGAGAACATTCATACAAGTATACCACACAATTGAGCCTTCTTGAGATCACCATAAAATATGATAGATCATCCTTTTTCTTAAAGTTGACTCAAGATTAACTCTTGCAAATTTTGACGTCAATAGTTTGGTACTAGAAGGAGGGCTGCATTGTGAAAAATAGCCCTATTCTCCCCACAAAA